GTGTGTGTGTGTGTGTGTGTGTGTGTGTGTGTGTGTGTGTGCGTGTGTGTGTGTGTGTGTAGCTGATGAATCACCATGAAAAACGTTTGTTTGTTTGTTTTTGATTAGACTCTATTTGTTTTTGCTGTTTTTGTTGTTTTGTTGGGGGGTTTTTGTTACAACTACAAACTTTTGGTCCATAAGTTTGTTAATGCGTAATCAAAATACACTGTCCCGAAGTAGGAAAGTCTTTCTCTGTGTATCTTTATCATTAAAGCAAATAACGACTCCTCATTTATTAATGACACAAGTTAAACAGTCTTTCTTTCTTGACATCGTGGCACTCATACTGAGAGTGGGGACCCCATAAAGAGCGTAGTGGTTCTGGTATGTTCCGAATAAACGGCTCAAGCCTACTATTTGCTACCTTGGAATTACAATGTTTTATTTGACATTTTTGGCCCTTTTGAGTTTCTAACACCATAAGTTCAGAAACCATATGCTCCCCCATCTGGTGTCAAAATTGTTTGATTATTTGGAGTTGTCAAGATATTCAAAGAATTGTGTTTGAAAAGGCTATACATGTTGCGAAAATCATATTTGATGTCAAATTTCTCAAAACTTGGTACAAAACAGATAGAAATGTATAATTTTACGGAAGCGAATTGCCCTGGGGGTTTTTTGTTGTTGTTTTTTTGGGTTTTTTTGTAGAATCCAACCGAGGAGGCCAAGGTCTCGAGGAACGATTACGAGCACTGGATTTTATTTCCCGGCCCGGCAGTTGACAAGGTGCGAAGCCGGTAGTAGAACAAAGAGATCGTTATAAAGCCGCTGGCATAAAATGTCACTCTGTGAAAAGAGGTATTATAGCTTGACGTAGAGAGATGAATTATATCACCAAAGGATGCACTAAATTACTGACTAGTAAACATAATTTAAAACATGAGAGTAACTCCGACCCAGCGCTGGCGGTTTTGTTTTGTTTTTTTGTTTTTGGGGTGTTTTTTTGGTAAGTGTTTTACGACTCTCGCAACTTCATAAGGTCATGTGAGCGCGCGGGACACACTAAATATTTTCAGTTGGTAGGACATTTTGAATTTTTTTCAAGGTGGCGGCCGAATTCCTCTCTTATCGATTTAAAGACCACCAAGGGATCTGTAACGTTCGCAATTTGTACACGGGACTTCCGAGATTTTTCGCCCTTATCCGAGAAAGCTGGGTGTAGATCTTACCTACCATAAGATCAAGAGAGTGGCTGAAAGGCAGCAGTAAAAAAGAGTCAATGAATAGCAGTAGAAAGGCTGCAGAAAGAGCCAGGAGCCCAGATGAGGGGGCAACGGAGGTCAGGGGGCGGCTTGACTGTCCTTGGAAACAGGACATTTCCTTTTTTGCTTTTTATCACATTTTTTTCAGTAAAATCCACGCAGATTGTGTTTTTAAATGGACAGGAAAGGTGTTGAGCCTTAGAAGGAAAAAAAGAAAAAAATTCCCCAAGACCAGAAAAATGCCGGTTTCTTTGATTTAATTGTTTTGACGAGTGCCTAACTTAATCATGATGCATCACATATTTGAAAATAAGTTTTGCCGCGAATTTTTTACCTCACCCTGAGCAGTCGAGATTTCGAGAGAGCAAATAAAACTTTTGGTGGGTGACCTCATGACTTTATAGTAACAGTACTGAAAACGACCAAACATGTTAGAACTTTGTCATTCTAAAGCAGTGACTTGTCAACATTTGAAACTCCATAAAGTAATCTCAAACAGGTGAAAAAATTAATATCCACATTGCCACCATTTGTAATTGCCGATGCCTTACGCCCCATCCACACAATTTTTAGATAATGTAGGAAGCGGGAGATGGGTTGGACATACTCTCAGGAAGTCAGGCAGCTGCATAACAAAGAAACTTTTGGATTGGAACCCAGAGGGTAAGAGATCAAGGGGAAGACCGCGTGGAACCTAGAGAAGGATCACAGAAATCGATGTACAGAAAAGTGGGAAGACCTGGAATAACATCAAGAGGCTAGCCCAGGATAGAAAAAAGTGGAAGGTGTTTGTCCGTGGCCTATACCTTGGTGCAGGGTGGGAAAGGCAATGCTTCTACCCCGCTAGTCAGAGACAACCCAGGCTGAGAGGGATACACTGTTCTAGTAGACACATAGTGACCCAGATTAAAATATAATCTCCTCACTCGAGAATCGAACTCAAGTTATCTGTGTGCGGAGGCTAAGCGCTAAAGGGGAATGGCTACCTTGAAAACCAGCATTTTAACCAGAGAACCAGTGAAGCTAGTACTGGTATATTATGTTGATACTTATGTGGAGGAATGAAAATCTACCTTCAAACAATTAATAAATTCTTTGGTTACCATGGAAACAACGGCCATGTTGAATTTTGTTGACAATTTTATTTTCTTAACTATTTCAAAATTATGCTACCTAGACGGCTTTTTAAAGGCAAAAGTGGGAAGAAGGTATGAGACGATAATATACCACCGATGCAGGTCCTACATTGGCGAGGGTGTACCTCAAACAGAAGACAGACCAACAATTTGACAGTGAAGAGAAAGTCGCTCCATTTCATGATATAGAAATATCTCTTCACCAGAGACGAGGTGGTTGTGGTGATAATGGTGATGATTTCATTTTATTTTTGTAATTACATTTATTTATTTTTTTTGGGGGGAGGG